AGAGAGAGAGAGAGAGAGAGAGAGAGAGAGAGAGAGAGAGAGAGAGAGAGAAAGAGAATTGTATGTTGAATATTATGCAATTCTGGAAGAAGAAACAGATTTCTAGAAATTATTTTGAGACCACTCTGGATGCCATAGGAAAAGCGCTAATAAGACCCAAAGAAATAAATCAACGTGGCATGTATGATGGCGGGGATAGGAGCAATCGTAGAAGGAAAAGTACCAGAAAGGTATAATTAATCTCTTGCAGAAGTTGCAGAGAATAGGATGGTGACTGCGAAGAATAGGGGCAACAATAACAGCAGCGGCAGCAACTGACCGTCATGAGAATTTTAAAACAAGATCAGATATGAATTCAAAGTTTGACCCATCCCTTCTAACCCAAGAAGCTGTCAAAATATGAACCCCCCCTTTCCCCCACCTTGTCCCCGTAAGGTTTAGCAAGTTGAACAGTATGCCCACCAACCAATAAAAAACTCCACCATGCCGCCCAAAACAAACTTGTCATTCTCCTTTGTTTCCCTTGAAAAGTTATTTTACCGAAGGCTTTGGAAAACGTTATACAAGTCTTTGGATCTCTATTTTAGATTTTCAGGCAAAAGTCACAACACGCTGTTGCAGGTATGCTGTTCAGAGTTTAAATCACAGACGTGTCTATGGGGGACAGGGTACAGATTGGTTAGTGAATTTTTTTTTCAGTTGTTGACACCCAAACCAAGCCTTTCAAGCAAAATTTCTACAGAATGAGAACAGAGCATGTCAATTAGAAGGCTAAAAAAAAACTTAATTAATTACCACTTTCCAACCGTATGTAAAGATGCCAAAACTCCATAAGCCTATATAAGATAAATCTAGACTTCCGCGGACACTTTTTCGGCCGAGATAATTATCTTGTTAATCATTGATATGTACAATACCCCGCCCAAAACCTCGAGGGTTCATCCCTCGATCAGCTCTAAGAAAACAGAAAACAAACAAACAGGAACAGCAGGGGAGTACTTAGGAGTCATGACCTAAGTGTGGTCCGGCCCCCTTAGAGTGTCAATAAGTTAGGGCCGAAACATTTGCTTGAAGGGGGTTCTTCCTCTGATCTGAGAATCTCCTGCTGTCCGCTCGCCCCACAAGTTTTCTCCCGCTACATTGTGTACTTCCGTTTACTACTCCTCACATGCACTTCTGTGAGCGATTTCTAGACATAACCCATGCATTCCATTCTATACTATTGTCTAGACGTAACATTTACTGACGTTACTCGCGACACTCAGAGGATTTCATCGACACAGAAGAGGACACGTTTAACGCAGCTTTAGATCTAGAATCTAGATCTAGATCTAACCAATTCTTTCCGGTTGAAAGCCATACGAAACAGACACTTCCGCCATTACACTCTCCCAAGACAAGAAAAGCAAAATAATAAAAACAACCACAACAAAACGCAGGAACCTTCCAATTTGCATACTTGCTGGAAAACGTATTGCGCAAAAACAGCCAGGTTGTTCTTTTTTGTAGGTCAGACAATGCATTCCAGAATTTATTTCGAAATTCAACTGATTAGCACGATTTTTTTCCCCGAAAAAGGAATGCTGATACAATCAAACTGACAACACGAAAATAGAAAATTCCACAACTAATGCCAGAGTTTTACAATATATCAATAGTTCTTAGCATTCTGCTTAAGATATTTCAATCTCAGTGGGTGGTTGGCGGGTTCTATGGTGTGGTTTCATTCTTCTTTTCTATCGAACATCTATCGTTCAGTGAGGAATGTTCCAATCATGGAAAAGCAGATCTTTTCTAAAGTTTAAATATCACACTCATCAGAAAAGAATAATACAAAGAGAACTGACCGTGAGCAGTAGTTCCTTAGAAGGAACAACACACAGTGTACTGTAGGTTTAACACTTTCAAATACAGGCTTTGTGTAATTCGTTAGTTTTGGTGGATTTGGTAAAATTCTATCTGCAAACTTTTAGAAGGCCCACATACAATTTTCTCTCTCTCTCTCTTTCTCTCTCTCTCTCTCTCTCTCTCTCTCTCTCTCTCTCTCTCTCTCTCTCTCTCTCTCTCTCTCTCTCTCTCTCTCTCTCTCTCTCTAACCCCCCCCCCCCCCACACATACACATACCTACACATTAGTACACAATGACAAACCCACGCAAATACTGCCGCATTGCATTTTTAAATGTAGGTGTTTTACCGCCCCCATCGACGTAGTTTAGATAATTTTCGAGGCCGGCTTCCGATTTTTCCTGTCTCGGCTAACGCAAGATGAGAGGTATACATAACACAACAGCCCCTCAAAATGATTAAGATATTTGAAAAAATCCCCCCCCCCCCACACCCCACATAGGAATCGAATTCGGGTCTCTTGCCAGCGGCAGCGAAGCATCTGACGGCTATGCCACAGACCTATATT